TAAACGTGATCCCTATGATGCAGCTTCTTGTATAAATGCTGTGTGCACTAAGAAGCATTAGCTCTTAAACATCTTTGCTCCAAGACTATGAGAGCCTTTATCATCCTAGCTTCGAGACGAACTATGAGAGCTTTTACGAACTTAGCTCTGAGACATTTGTAAAATAATGACCATGTGAGCTTTCACCATCTTGGCTACGACATCTTTGTATTTGAACTTCTTATGTAACATTTCTTTTTTGCCTCTGCTGTGACTTTACAATAAATCTACAAACTTACAAAAGTCTTCTTAATCAAAACAACCAAAATGGTTAATTTTGTTATATTTTTCCGCGAACATTTCTAAAAACCCTGTAATTGCACTAATACAGTAGATATATCTTCAAAAAATGTTAACATCTTATATGGAAAGTTTTCTCCCCTCTACAGTCAAACAATGGAATACCTTGCCAAATTATATTAAAAATGCTCCATGTATATGGAATATGTTCGTTCAAAAGTCTTTTAAAATCTCATTTCTGTAGGAAAAGTATTGAACTTTTTTATTTTGGAATAAGAAAGTATTATATAATACATTGCCAGATAAGGAATAATGCTAGTAATCTGAAAGCAGTTTTATATAATCAACATTTAGATGAAACTCCAATGTGTGAACATTGTACTGATGGTATTGAAAATGCCTATCATTAGGTCTTTCCACCTTTCCGTGGAAAGACCTATTGAAATTGTTCTGTTTATTAGGTCTTTCCAGCTTTCTCTGGAAAGACCTATTGATATCCTTCTGTTTCTTCTTTTTTATTATTTTTCCGCCGTGTGATTTTGAGTTTCAAGATTTATCGTAAAGATTTTTAGTCGATAAGAATGTACTCCGTAAAAGATTTTGGCAGTTGACCCTGCATATATGAACTTTGACCCCTTACGGAGTTACGACCCCTTTCACAATAAATGCTTGTTATCACTACTCCTCCGAAACCTTAAACCGCAGAGATTCCAAACCTTTATTAATGTTAACGACTGATTTAGTAGACTCTCCAATCAAACATTGCGAAAGGATTCATAAACTCCTATAATGAATTATTGCCCCTGAATGTTTGAAATGTTTATGAATATCAAGAACTTTTCTAAAACGACAAAGTGCAGAGACATGGGGCCAACTGCGAAAGATTTCTTGACCTTTGACCTGAAAATCTAGGTCAAGGTCAAAGGTCAATGTCATTCAAAAAATGTAAAATTCAGCATTTTTTATAGCTCTTTTGTTCTTAACCAAATTCTAAACTTCTTTGCATCTTTAGTATGTACTCTTAAAACCATTTCAGAGATTCCATGCTTGTCCCCTAAGATTGAACCCTCTAAAAGTTAGTGCCCCTTTCAGTGTAAACCCTTGTTATCGCTACTCCTCCGAAACCGTAAACCGTAGAGGTACAAAACCTTCAACAATGTCTGCGACTAATTTAGTACACTTCTCATTCTATTAGTGCGAAGGAATTCGTAAACATTTTAAGTAGTTATTGCCCCTGGCAGTTTATGATGTTTACAAAGAACTAAAAAACTTCTTAACGACAAGTCGTAAAGACATGGGCCCAACTGCATGAGATCTTTTGACCTTTGACCTTGAATATAAGGTCAAGGTCAAAGGTCAAGGTCATTGGGAAAGTATCAAAATTTCCTTATTTACGGCCTTTTGGTTAAAATGACCTTGACTTTGATATTTGACCTTGACCTTTGACCTTGACCTTTTCTCAAAAGTTTAAAAAGATATATTCATTATCTTTACCTAGATTCAGCTTCAAGTGTAAAACTTAAGTTTATAAGTGCTTTTTTCTTTTGGATGACCTTGACCTTTGACCTTGATAAATGACCTTGACCTTTGACCCAAAGGTCACATTCAAGCTTAAGTATGTGGAGGTATTTATAATTCTCACGTACAAACACTTATATAATACCCCCCCCCCCCCCCGATTTCTATAAGAAATAAAAAATCAATAGCGGCATAGGAAATTTTTCTACAAATCAAAGGACATCACAGATCAAGATAAAATTCAGTTTAGCATGTAGAAGACACCTCAAAGAAAGTGCCCTGAGAGTTTTACGGTGAGTCTCTTAAGTACAATTAAATTCTAGTGAATATCGGCGAAATCTACATATTTTTTCTGTATTAAATTTAATTGTTGCTGAGTATTAAAATTAATTAAAGCTTGTATTGGCCATTTCTTCGATTGTTGTTAATATCACTCGATTCTCCTGCTCTAATACGATATTTCGATACCAAAAATTCTTGCTTTCTTTAGTATGTGGAATTTATTTCAATTTTATTTAGATTTAATATTGTTGGGATGAATCTCGAAAATAGCGATTTTTCCTGTCAAATAAATTTCCACGCTCTATCTCAGTGACACCGTTTTTTTTTTTTCCCTGAGATGCATGTTTCAAGTTTAATATATGCTGGTAACTATGAATTCAATTCAAATAGAAATGATTATTAAATCTTACCTATGAGTTTACCATGTCTGTCAAAACGAACGCGGCCTTTTTCAAATACATAAATTGCTACGCAACCTCAAATGCATGTATCCCCGTTAATAGCAATATCATAATTTTAATCAGACAATATCCCTTACATATTAACTCGAAAACAATCTCATTCCAACTCACATATACACCCAGGAGCTTGTCAGAAGTTTATTAAGTGGATCTCTTTGACTGATCAATGAATCAAGGAAATTCCGGTAACTTTAACTCGACAATAATACGAGGCAATTTCAACGGAACCCGTGGCGTAGTGGTTAGAGCGCTCGCCTGCTAATCAGAGGGTCCAGGGATCGAATCCTGCTAGAGCACTATAATTTTTTTTTTTCACTTTTTCATTTGCGTTTTTCTTCTTTTTTTCAACCCAAATGACACGGAAACACTTAAAAAGCTGGAAAGACCTCTTATTGTTCTGTGAACAATAAGTCTCCTAGTTATTATTATTTTTCCGCCGAATGGTTTTTTGTTTCTGAAGTTATCGAAAAGATTTATAGTTTATATGAATGTACTTCTTAAATGATTTTTTAGTTAAACCCTGCGTAAATGAACTTCGAGCCCTTTCAAAGTTATTGCCCCTTTGCAAGAAATGCTTGTTATCGCTACTCATCAGAAACCGTAAACCGCAGAGGTATGAAACCTTCACCAATGTCTTCAACTAATTATGGGGAATCTTCAATCTATTCATTGCGGAAGCATTCGGTGACCCCTTCAATGAGTTACTGCCCCTGAAACTTTTTGATTTTTACAAATAATTAAAAATTTTCAAAACAAGAAGTCGTAGAGACATAGGACCAACTGCATAAGATTCATTGACCTTTGACCTTAAAATTCATATTAAGGTCAAAGGTCAAGGTCATTCCAAAAATGAGAAAATTAGCTTTTCTGTATCTCTTTTGTCTTTCAACATATACTTAATGTCAATGCATCATTAATATGTACTCTTAAAACTGTTTCAAAGATTTCATTCTTGTCCCCTAAGATTAAACCTTTTAAAAGTTATTGCCCCTTGTGCGAAAAACCTTGTTATCGCTACTTCTCCGATACTGTAGATCCTAGAGACACCAAACCTTCACTAATATCTTAAGGGTCTTTAGACATAACTTCACTGTATAAGTGCAAAAGAATCTGATGACCCCTTATATGAGTTATTGCCCTTTTACTTCTTTATACTTACTATGAAACCTTAAATCTTGAAAACTATAAATGTTAGAAGCATGGGGTCAATTGCCTTGTGACCCTTGACCTTTGACCTTGAATATTTTGTCAAGGTCAAAGGTCAAGGTCATTCCAAAAATTAGGAATTAAGCTCTTTTTATATCTCTTTTGTCTTTTAACACATGCAAACAGTCTCTGCATCATTAATATGTACTCTTAAAACTATTTCAAAGATTTCATTTTTGTTCCCCAAGACTGACCCTATAAAAAGTTATTGTCCCTTATGCGAAAAACATTGTTATCGCTACAACTTCAAAACTGTAGACTGTAGAAGCATGAACTCTTCACTAATGTCTAAAGGTTCTTTAGGCACACCTTCATTGTATAAGTACTAAAGGATTTAATGACCCTTTTTATGAGTTATTGCCCTTTAACTTCTTTGCACTTAATATTTAAACATAACTATAGAACTAAAAGTCGTAGAGGCATGGGGTCAATTGCAATGTGACCCTTGATCTTTGACCTTGAAGATCTTATCTAGGTCAAAGGTCAAGGTCATTTCAATTTTTTTTGTTTAGATTTTCATTTTCTTTTTTTAATCCATTCCCTTAAAATTAAATTGGAGAGTAAAATATAAAACTATAAGAAATTTAAAAAGGTGGAAAGACCTCTTATTGTTCTGTGAACAATAAGTCTCCTAGTTACTTTATTGTTTGTCCAAAATATACAATTCCAAGAGATGTACTCTTTCAATCAACACATAATATTATAAACTGTGATTATATTCCTGAATGTGATTTATTTTTAAATGGTAGTTCTAACCATGGACTTGACATTAATATACAAATATTTGAAGTTGTACAAACATTTATAGCAGCAACAAAGCGTTTTATATAAACAATGTCATATCCATATATAGATATAATTTTTACTGGTTAGAAGTACTCCCAAACCGGTACTACTTTGTATTTTGTCTCCCCCTGTAACTTGCCCTTTTTGTTATTTTGTTCATTCTATTTTTCTCTTTTGATTAATTTCCTATATATGACTTTTTCTGTTTTTTTCTCTGTTACTTTGTTCATTTTTGTTTTGTGTTTTTTTTTTCTCTCTTCTTTTGTACATTCTCTTATTATCACTATTTGTTTTGTACCTTGACCTAAATGTAGGGAGTGGGCTAAAATAGGCTGCGCCTGCTGCCCAATCCTATTCACAATAACATCTGTGAATAAAATATTGTTTTAAAAAAATGTTTGCTTATTGTATTAATTTTATTTCTAAAAAGTATTAAATATTTGTAGTCTTTGCAGATTAAGCCTCGAGATGGCAACAGCTAGATTATTTGCTCAACACTTTCTTGAATGCGAAAACTGTGAGGAAGACCCCGCGCAGTTCCTTTGTAAAACATGCCCTGGTCATCTTTGTGAGACCTGTAAAACAGAGCACGAGACGAGAAAAATAACTAAAACTCATGAGATTATACACCTGCATAAAGATAAGGAGGGGCCACTGGGCCTTCTTTACTGTGGAAAACACAAAGTAAACAAAATAGAGTGGTACTGTTCACCCTGCAAAGAACCAGTATGCACAAAATGTCTAATGGAATCCCATAATGGACATAAAATGGAAGATTTTGCTACAATTTACCAAGAGAATATGAGCAAGCTTAAAAAGGAAAAGAAGGAAATAGAGGCAGTGCTTTTACCAAAATATAGAGAAATGATTTCTAAGGAAAAAAGAAAAAAGTCAGAGTTATCAAAGAGAAATGATGAAGTTAAGAAACAAATAGAAGATCACACTAAATCAATAATGAATCAAGTAACAACGTTGAAAGAGAATGCTCTACAGAATTTACGAGAAGAAGAAGAAAAGGCCATCATGGAAATTGAGGACACAGAACATGAAATTGAAGAGAGAATTGAAACACTCAGAAGACTCAATGAGGAAATCACCAATAACTTGGGGGCAAATCGTGGAAGTTCCTTTCTCATGAATATAGACTCATATACTTTGCAAAAAATGCAGGAATTTCCAGCCACGGTTAATTACAAGATTGTAGACTTTCAGCCTGGTGAACTTTTCATAACAGAAGATCAGTTTGGAAAATCTCCAAAATTTTCAAAATCAGAAGAAAATATTTTGCAAACTGAACAATTATCAAATGAAAACAGCGATGTATCAGGTATCATGCGACAATTAGACATTATAGAACTACAATGCGAAGAAGTAGGTGATTTAATTCCTCGTATGGATATGCAGAAAGAGATTGATTTCTTACGAAAATCACTTTCAGGAAGAGAAACTTTTGAGTGATACTTTTAAGGCATTCAGAACATTAACTGATAAATGATTCGTTAAAAAACTCGAAAAAATTGAACCGTTGAAGAAATATCGGGCATATCTTTTCTATTGACAAGATATACTCTACATGTAGTATATTTAAGAAGAAAAACAAATTACAAGCTAAATGAGAAGTCCAAAGAAATGTTGAGCACAAACTTGACGCATTTCATGTTTGTGACATACAAATTAGACGTGATCGTTCAATAAAACGCTTTAATGAGAATTATTTTCATTTTGATTCTGTGAAATACGCATTTGATTCTTTTGGAGGGGAATGGGGGTCGGGGTGGTTGTTTTATATTTGACTGAAAATGAAAGCTTGAAATCATATTTGTACACCCTTTATAATTCTCTGATACCATTTGACACAAATCTAAAACCTCATCGTTTTCCTATATTGTTCATGAATTTTTTTTCTTTCTAATAAACATGAAAAAACATCACAACATATTTTTGATTAAATTTATATAATAACGCATATTTTTGTCATATACATTTTAAAGAAGGAATGATTTTTACGAAAAAAAAAGTATATCATAGAGAAAATCCAATGTTATGAACGACATCTGAATAACTAGTCGGTTGGGGGTTATTCTTTTTCATCTTCACATGGATTTTAGCTGTAACCAAATTTGCAGCTATTGCGTAATATCTTAGTCTATCACTGGCCATCAAAAGACCATCAAAATTCTTCACTTTTTTGTAACATCTTGGCAGTAGTGTCCTGAAATTTCGAATCCCTGAAGTGTTCTTTGAATATAAGTGAAATATCCTGCGTTGTTTTTGGGCTGTATCATTATGATGAGGATTTAAAAAAATAAACAATACACCTAACACTAAAGAGTGGCAAGTCTGCACAATAAAGAAATTAGAACTGGGAGTGAATCTTAGCTTTTCTATCATTACGGGACAATACGAGCTTTTTTAACCGAAGAACTTGAAATTGATTATGAAATCGAATTCACAAATGTACATACATTTGGTCAGAAAAACAACAATAGGGATCGACCAATTGTCGCAAAGTTTATTCATCAACATGACCTCGACTACCTACTCCAATGTGCAAAAAAATAAAAGGGAAACCTTTCCAAATAAATCGCCAATTTCCGGACGAGATTAAGCAAGCAAGGAAAAGCCTTTATCCCATTATGATGGAACTACGTCTCCATGGTGAAACAGTGAAGCTGGTCAGGGACATCTTATTAGTGAACGAAAGGCCATATGACCCAGTGGATCCAGCACCAGCTGAGCCACTGAAGTACTCCCAACGCATCCCTAGCAGATACCGCAGCTCGTCGAACAAACGCCGAAGAATCAACTCCACCCCTGAAAAACAATAAAGACTCTCCGGGGAGTGTGTATCAAACGCGAGAAACTGCGCGCAAAAAATGAACTAAAATCCTCTCATCAAACTGTTATGGATTAACGAAAAAATTAAATTGTTCAAAGTTTCAAGAGCTAGTGTGGCAATATAATATATTTTGTTTCGAGAAAATAAAAACAGATGACTTAGATATAATTCAGATGGAAGGTTTTGAAATAAAGATATAAAAAGAATTAAATGCATGGTATAATGAAGTCTGGAGAAATAATATTAGCATATAAAAATGCATTAAAAACTTAATTATTAATATACATGAAAGGGAACGTACACTACAGTCAACGCAGTTTCCGTATTTACCGCGAGTACTTGCGGTGTGAAATTGATCGCGGTTTAACACAGGTACATGTAATTCAGGTAAAATCGCGTCATCTCGCGGTACGGGTCCTCACTTGATCAACACCATCGCGGTTTGTGATCTCGGTATCAGGTAAATTAAAGTCATCGTCGTAAACGCAATTTACCTCCCCCAACGTTTACCACAGCGTAAAATGAATGTCATATATTTTAACGTCATTTAATAAAAAAAATGGTAAAAAGAATTAGGATTAATAGATATATAATTTGTATATTTTTATCTATTTAACGCCATTTTCCTGAAGTCCAGCATATTTTTCGGATTCAGAATACTCGAAATAGGTTTTTAAAAAATAACCTGCACCAAATGAGAATTATTTGCCGTTAGAAGTATATTTTCCCTAAAAATCGGACCATACTTAAGTCTCCGGTAGTCATATATCATTTATTCAATTCCAAAACGTTTGAAAAATATATAAATAAATCAGTGATTTACATTGCATTTCATTGAAAATTATTTATTTATTGTCTGATCATTTACATTTTGTATATTTCTATATTTCCCCTCCAGTCCAGTTATTAGCGAATATAACGAATTAATGCCTCCCCTTTTTCTAGCAAATGAATTTTAAAAAATAGAAAATCAAAAAATCCCAAACAATATAAACTTAATTAAACTTTATATTTATTTTTTTCAACTCATTTATTCAATTTACCGTGGGTGTGCTTTATTGTAAAGTCAGATGTCAATTCTGAGAGTTCCAAAAAAATCCACCAATCATGTAAAACTGGAACTGGAATTAGTTCACAATATAGCTGTAGCTCGAAAAATAATTTCTTCTTAATTTTTATTGTGAGACGCAATGGAGGATGGTATTGCGAGTAAATGCTGTGAAGAACGGAATATCATGATATTTGCTCTGTGCAGCTTGTAGAGGAACTTAACAATTAAGATGAGTTGAATAATATTATGAGAGCAATATTAAATTTCAATTTGCATATAGGTCTATAGGACTGTATCAGGGTCCAAATACAGGGCAAAGCTGCATACATATTTTAATCGGCACTCTCGGCAAATGTACACGGTAATCGCCATCTTTATTTCCTTTCACACCACCTCTCAATACGGTATTGATAGAACTGTGCCGGTATTGAATTCCGGAGAACTTGATTGTAATTCCACCATTTCCGAAAATTCAAACTACCAATCAAGCATGCCCTGTTTCTTTAATGTTTTCTACATTTCCGTTAGAATTTTTCGTTCGGGTTCAAATATTCTCTCAAAACCATTTAAAATACATGGTACATGAGGACAATGATAAATATTTACAGCATATATACATTCTGGTCAGAGGTATAAGTATATGATATTATACATAATAAGACAATGAAATTGGAGAAGAAGAAAATGAAGAGTAAAAAAAAAATGGAAAAGGGGGAGGACAAAACACGTAATAATGAAATTAGAGGAAAACAATTATGGAGGACAGACTAAATCATATATTTTTGATATAAACATACAAAGTTTTTTAATTGACATCGCATCTGTTTTGTCATCAGTTGAGAAAATTTAAGAACATTTGGTCTAGTAAAGTAGTATTCATTAATATATTTTATCCTGATGTTTGACAGTGCAGTACATTCAAGTATAAAATGAAATTCATCAGCAACATGTTCAGCATTACAAAGTGTACATAATCTTTCACTTAATGGTATAGATGCCCATCTTCCCAACTCAATTGGTAGATGGTGATTAGTAGTACGAAATTTGACAAGTATTTTTCTAAATTTTAATGGCAGAATACTTAAATACTTTTCACACTTAAAATTTGTTTTAAAAATTTTATACAAAGTACCTTTAGAAGAACTGTTAGTACCAGAATGCCATTTTTGTATAAATTGATCTTGTAATCTTTTTTTAACAACAGTAGTAACCCAGTCTTGATTAGGATTATAATAAAACTGTTCATTCCAAATATAAGAAAGTCCACATGAGTCAAAAATACGATTAACACAGTCAATCCAAGGATTCTTACTTATTTCTGATTGTGAATTAGAAATTAAATATTGATATAATATACATGAAATTTTCTTATCTGTGCTATTCAATAATTTACACCAGTATGAGAAAATTCTTGAATAAATAAGGACAGATAATGGGAAACGTCCTGTTTCACCATAAACCATATAATTCGGGGTACTACTTTTCAAGTATAGAATATGTTTCAAAAATTTTAAATGAACATGTTCAATAATATCGAAGTTTTCAAAACCCCAAATTTCACAATTATAAAGAAACACTGGTAAAACCATTTTATCGAACAAATCAAGTTGACATTCTACAGGGAGGTTAAATTGTCTTATTTTTCTGATAACACCATACATAGCTTTTTGGTCTCGGTCACAGAGATGTTTCTTGGCTTTTAAAAAGGAGCCAGATCTTGAAAAAATGATACCAAGATATTTAAATTATTTGACAGTTTCTAGACTCTTGTTATTATAGCAAAAAACTCTTTTGAAAAAAAATAATATTTTGGTCTTCTCGATATTTACTTGTAATTTCCACTCTGAGCAGTAGCTTTCAAATTCATTTAAAACATTTTGTAGATCATCCGGAGTTTCTGTTAAAATGACAGTATCATCGGCTTATAAAAGTATAAGAAGTTTCAAATACACACATAAATCATTTTCTATTGAAGTCGTAAGGCTTTGTAAACCAATTATATTTCTATCAACAAGATAATTCTCTAGGTCATTAATATACGACGAAAAAAAAAAGAGATAAGTTTTCACCTTGTCGTACTCCGACATTACAAAAGAAAAAATCGTTTGTAGTGCCGTTCATCTTTATAAGTGATTTAATACCCTGGTATATATTTGTAATATACGTGAAGCATTTGCCTTTAATTCCATAATTTAAAAGTTTACTCCAGAGACCGTTTCTCCAAACAGTGTCAAACGCTTGCTTGAAATCTATAAAGGCACAAAAAAGTTTTTCTTACACTTCATCAGTGTGTTTGATAAAAAGTATAGTCAGAATATGGTCTAGAGTAGAGTGTTCTTTCCTAAAACCTGCTTGGTTTTCTTAAATAATTTCAATCTCATCTTCGTACATTTCCAATTGCTTGCTTAGTATACATGTAAAAAGTTTACCCAAGCAGCTCAATAAAGTAATAGGACGGTAATTTTCTGGAGAAGTCGGATCGCCCTTATTTGTGTAAATAGGTTTAACAATACCCACTAGCCACTCATCTGGAACCAGTCCACTATCAAAAATAATGTTAAAAAACATCTTGTACTCAGGTAGAAAGGTATACAGTGTTGATGAAATATGTTCATTTACAATGTTATGGAAACCAGATGCTTTTCCATTTTTTTTAATTTGTTTACTGCTTCAATAATTTCAGTTTCACTAATTTCACGATTAAGTGTATCATCAGATGATTCTCTTGTTTCTAGTTCTCTATCAGTCGAATTGAAATCATCATCATCAGTCTCATTGTTACATTCATTAATACCTTTCAAATATCTGAATACTTCTTCAATATCTACTGCACTCTTTGACTTTTTATCAGAAGAATTTAATATTTTCCAATAAGCTTTAGCATTTGTAATGCGTAATTGCATGAGTTTACGGGTTAGGTCAGCCTTATAATTTCTAATACTGTTATCCATGACTTTTTTATAACTTCTACTCATCTCTCTAAGATTTTGTTTGTTTTCTTCTGATTTACACAAGTTATGCATTCTTTTAGCTAAGTGGAAATTCTTCTAGCTGTTTTGCATTCTCTATTAAACCAAGGTTTGTTTTGTTTTTTATTTTCTGAATATTGACCGGTTGGAAAAATTCCAAAAGTTTCTTTGGCTGATTTAGTAAAAATATTACAAATATCCTTTGCTACCTTATTAATATCAGTGCTTGAAATATCATTATTACTCATTTCGATAAAGTTACGCTCAATTGACTTCACAGCTGAAGTATCAATGTTATTACGGAACTCGGCTTCCCTATCGGGGCACCATAACTTTACACCTGGTTGGTTTTCACACGTGGAGCTATTTTTAGACATTGAACAGGTGGACAAAGAAAAAGACAATGGATTATGTACATCGGAAAAAAGATTACAGAACTCATGTACTTTAAAATGTTGTAGAAGTTCAAAAATGTGTATACTTGCAATAACATAATCCACAGTACTACTGTTTTTACAAGTAACACCACCTTTGTTTTTGTCGGTACCGAATCTACTATTTACAATATACAAATCGTTATTTTTACAGAAATATATTAATTTATGGCCAAAATTGTTGACAATTGTATCTTCAACAGATCTATCTAAAGGAATGTCATATTTTTCAAAAATAAAAGCCCTTGATAATATAGAGGCTTCAAATGCACCTTCTTAATGGTTAACATGTGTCAAAAAATTATCTGCAGTAAAATAATCCTTTAAATTTCCGACTCTAGCATTAAAATCTCCCATTAAAGATACATATTTTTAGTCTTTTGAAACATTGATGAGTTCTTGTTCAATTTCTCTATAACAATCTGTACAAGAATATTTACTAGATTTAGGTGGTAAATACAATGTACACAACTCCGCATATCAAATCTGTTTGAAAAAGTGACTTATTTAGCTTAAATTTAGCACATATTTACAA